TTGATCTGACAAAATATAATATAATTATATTATTATAAAATGTTTGTGCTGATCTAGCCAACATTAGGAGAAACATTCCAACAAAAGAAAGCACTGTTTGTTGAGAAAAGCCCACCGTTCATTATGAAGTCTAAATGACCTTTAAATGAGGTCCATACTAATAATGGCACAAAGTCAGAAGTTTTGCACCAACTGTGCATCTTATTGTCAGCTTAAGTGGCCTGGCCTCTACAACTGCATCTCCTTCTGGTTGCTAACGTGTGCAGCCTCTCAGACATGCAGCTCCATCCATTTCTGTTTGATTGATTTGAGTGCTTAGCTGGATGACAAAGGTCACAGTGCCTGGGAGATTGTTTTAGCCTTACCTGCACCTATTTTTTCTACTTATGTTTCCTCTTCCACTGTCTCTCTCTCTCTAGCGCTTACTCTCTCTCTCTTCCCACCTGGAGTGTCGTGAACCCTCTCCACACTCCACCACCTAATTATATCCTGGACGTGTAAATGTATTCATATTCATGAAGGCACAGATGCTAAATTAACTGTGGCAGGGACACGTCGCACTGTGCCGACTGCACAATCTGCTTCCTCCACTTACAGAAAAAGAGGAGAGGGGGTTTCGGAAAGGGGGTGTCTTAGCTGGAGGAGAGAACGCGGAGGCAAGAGAAGTAAAACAAAAGAAAGGAAGAAACAAAAACAGGGGAAGAGAAGAGAAGGGAAGACAAAGGATGGGCTGCATGAAAGCAAGAGAGAAAAAACGTTCAGAGTCACCTGAAAAGTCAACACAACACTGCCCCTGCCATCCTGGGTAGCCCAGACCCTGTTGGTCACATGGGTTCTATGTTGCATGAAGTGACAAATCAAAAAGCCAGAGTGCATAAAAACCTGGAGTTGGCTGCGGCGAAACGGCGCATGGGGAACTCAGGGGCAGATGGAGGGAGGTGCAGCAGTGCGTGGTGAACAGATGGCCGCTGCAAACTTGATATATGAAATTAATAACGTTTCCCGAATAGAATTCAGAAACAGGAATACATTACCTGAATTTTAATAAGGTCATTTTCTCCTTTTTTTTTAAGATCGGAGGTAGAAGGGGAGCATTTGCATGTCAATGAGATGTGGGACTGCCAGTGTGTTCATTCAAATCATGGTCACATCCTTTTGTGGGTTGTTGAAATTATGCGCGAGGTTTTAGAGATTGTTAAAATTTTGATGTTTCAAACTGTGGCAATTGTTTGCAAATGTTTTCTTCCTCTGAACTTCACAAAATGACAACAAAACATTTTAGAGAAAAGAGAAATTTTAAGATGAAATTTTGCCAGAATGATTTAGGAAAAGAAATTTCCTTGAACTTTACGTGCACTGGATGACTTCGACATTTTTGATGGGGTGCTTTCATTAAAATATTTTCAGAAAATATATTTTCATGGAAGCGTTGGCTTTCTCAACAAAAGATAGAATTCAGAGGTTCTCAGATTGGCCCACACAAAAATGCATGGTATTTCACTTTATTTTTAAATTGTATATATTTTATTAATTCAATTCAAATAGTTAAAAAGCAAAACCTTTTCTGTATTTGAGGGGCAAATAAACTCCATGAAAGGCTATGCTTATCATAAAAGAATAAATTATATATTATTTAACATTTGGTGTGTGAAGAGTGAAGAAAACATTAGACATCCAATAATAATATAACAAAATAATGTTAATAATAGAAAACTCTGTTATTGTGTACATCATACTAAAACTGGAAAAAATCATGTTTAAAGAAACGGCTCAAAACTAACAGACACCAAAGAATTTCTATCCTATCTGTTCTCAAATCGCCCCAAAGCTACAATTTTCTCCTTTATCTTCAAATTATCTTCAAATTATCTATTATAATAATATTCAACATATTATTAATTAATATAACATTCATACTTGTATTCACCTGCAGTAACTCTACTTTTATTTTAGGTTTTTCTAATTGTTTTGCAACTAATCAAAGCAACCCAGGGTAGAATTGTTTACCAGTGACAGAAAGACACCCAGTAGGTGGCATTAATGCAAATTAAAGACGTGCAGGGCTATGATTAAAACACAACAAAGAAGAAGATGCAAGATGACAGGGGAGGGGCTAAGAAGAGGGGACAGGGTTTCATTTAGCCAAGGATGAAATTAATGTTAATCACACTTCTCTCAGAACACCATGTGTGACATTAACCTCATTATTTTTGCATTATATCAAAAATAAATGTTACGGTTTCAAATAAGGGCTTTAGGTTTTAAAATAGGCACTAATTTTGGAGACACCTACAGCTCCATGGCTCAGCTGTTGATGTGTGTGAGATATTTTATAACCCTAAAAAACACTGCTTAATGACAGATTATTGTACTGTACAAAAGCATGACATGTTTGTCTCCATTTTCAGTGTTTGTGCTGAGTCTAGAAAACCAGCCTGTGGCTGTGGCTTTACATGGCTATTGAATCAATCATTCTATTGCTTTTCCAAGAAAACGTCAAAAATGTTCTTTTAATTCATATGAATGGTACCAGCTTGTATATGGATCCAATGCTTCAGTTGTTTTGTAGAAGAAAATCTATATTTTTCCACAATATATTTGAACACAAATATAACAGTAGAATATTTACCAGTTTACTGAGGTCAGGTCTGGGTATGTAAAAAAGCAAACTAAAATGAGCTCCAGGGGTTTATACCTCAATAGTGTAGGAGTCATGTCTGAGTTTTACTGTCTTGCAGTTTGTCCATTTCTCAGCAGTGATGTGCTGAGCCAGTAAAGTAGTCAGAGCAAATAACAGGCTTCAAGTGAAGAAAAATGACTTTTAAAATGTTTGTTAGCAGAAGTGTATATTTTTGTAGCCTCAAAATGACACAAGAGTAGCAGGGATCTTGGAAACCACATGCCGCACTTGTGTGAGTATATTCGGGCTTAATGCCACATTCATGACCAAACGCCTGATCTGTTTCTCCTTCTCTGCTGCGTTCTGCTAAACAATTCCAGATTTCAAGCAGGAAACTTTGGCTCATGGGGTAAAAAAAAAAAATCAGCAGCATGTGTTTGGAGCTGCATCAGTTTGACTCATCACACTGAGATGCTTGAATGAACAGATATGTGTTCTCTGCATGTGATGAGTACAACAAACAAATTAAATGTATTGCATTAAGGACAGTTACTGAAAAACTGACAATAACATAAGGGTTTTATTTAAAATAGGTACAATAGTTTCTGCAAAGCAGCTGGAGAAATCCTACAGACATCTGAATCATATGTGGTTGCTAACTTCCAGATTCTGCTTTGATTGGATAAACCGTTTTGATATTGACACCACAGGTCAAAAAGAAACTTTTGCCAACACAAATCAAATATGGACCGTACAGCACTACCACGAAGTACAACCAACAGGAATTCTGCTACTATTTGTCATATTCACTAATTTTAGCTACTGTACTTTCAACAGTTAAAATAATCCACTACATCAACACCAGTCCAAGAAATCAAATTCATAAATTCATGGTATGGATAATGGAATCTTAGTACATCTGTGCTGATTTAAAAGAATATTTCTATACAGTTTTTAGTTATAGGTTTGTAATTTTGTGTCATTTGAAAATAGGTCAATAGTGCATCACAAAATCTCAGACAAACTGCTAAAAGTGATGAACATACAGTCTAAAACTGGCAACAGAGAAACGTTACACCTGCAATATGTAGTGGGAGTGGTAGCACGAGGAACTTGGAACTGATTCAGGCACACAGTCTGTTCACCTTCATGGGTAGAATGACAGATGGCCTGAGTAGCATTCTGCAGTAGAGTATAACTTGTGTAAAGCTACTGTGTCATAAAGTAGTTTGGAGGGAGTTTTTGACAAGCGTTCATCTGCAGCGCAGACTCCTCACACACTGCTCACACCAGCGCATGCCTCAGACTCAAACTCAGACTTTGAGTCAGCCCTTCAATAAAAACAGTTTGTTGTCCCTCCTAAACCATTTACTACCGTAATAGAAAACCCAGTACTGTTGCAACGTCATTAACACTAGTGCCGAGGCAAGTCGGGAGCTTCAAGGTACGTCTCAATCCACGGGGGCGCACGATCCCCTCCAAAAACAGAAGGTAGAATTTGGCGAGGCGTTGTGCACATGGAGAGTGTTACTTACTGGTTATTGTGGTGGTCATACTGTGTCCCGTATGGCAGTGTATAAACGAACAGCATGCAAACACCTTCTGTCCAAACATCTGCGACAGGCACAGTTTTAGGCTCCCTTCCAAAAACTACAAAAAGATGGAGGCAGACGGGGGAAAAAAAATCCCCTCGATCTGCTTGGCTCAGCTCATTCTGCTGGCATATTACTCACTTGTTTTTCTCTTCCTCTGCTGTTGTTCAGGTTTGTTATATAAGTTTGTTTTCACCGACTGCAACTTCTCATTTAGTTTCATTTTAGGCATGTAATGAGCACAAATAAAAGAACACGTCAACACAAACTAACTTTCTAACTAAAGCCAGTTATACTGTATGTACTGCCAGTGATACAGGTGTACTATTTGAAACAGTGAAGCAAAAGTAAAACTATTTGAAGAAGAATACATCAGAAGGGATGCAGCAGTGACCCGGCAGTGAGTCAAGATCCAGCAGAGCAGGAGGTAAGTTTGGTTATAAAGGTGTGGGCGTCGCTCTCTGTTCCACTGACTGAATATTGCTAGCTGTCTACAACAACTGAAGTACTCCCAAACCAACAATCAACAAAGTACTACCCCCCTGACAGGTTCATTTATGACTTTAACATTAAAACATCCACTGCAGGAGGAAAATCAGAACCACGGCCAGCTCCTCTTCACTAAAGTTATTATAGTGACAATGTCTTTTTAGAAGCTAAATGTGCACGAAAGAATGAAAACAACCCACTTACAATTGTTTAAAGTTGCAAATATCACACACACACACAAAACTCCATCTTAACTCTACTATGAAATTCAAAGTAGGAGGAAGAGTAATGTTACTTACACAGGTCAGCAGCAGCAGCAGGACGTTTGCTGAGTGCAATCTTAAAGGGGGCTGAGTAGAGCCATCTGGTGCGACTTTGAGTGGTAGAGCTGGGGAGGCTGATGAAAGTCCACTCTATCAGTTTCACTGATTCTAAACGAAAAACAAAAGAAAAACACTTTAAAGAAAAAAAGATCACGTACATGTATAAACATCATGTTTGACTGACAGCTTGATTAACCTATGAAAACATGGCAGTAGGGAATATCTGTGCTTTATTTCCCTGTGAACAGGATCGTAATTAACAAAATAAATGTGTTCTTCAAAGTGGTACGGCCTGTGAACTCTACTGGAAACAGTTTATTGAGGTTGTTATAATCTAGAAGTAGCCTAATTTTTCGAAAGACTTCCATTTATAGGATGGAAACCTGCTCCACTGGCTCACTCTCACAGCCTCACTCTGTAAAATCATTCATTATACCAGTTAACCTTGGCTTGATTTCTCTCATCAAATTACAATCACTTGTAAACACTGTTCGTAATTGTTTTAATGAAGTACACATAAAATAAAGGTAATTTTTCTTCTTTTGTTTCTTTTCCAAACGCACCCCCCCCCCCCCCCCACCTAACTTCAAAGGCACTCCGTTTTCTTGTCACCGGATTTATCACAGCAAAGATGTTTCTCATCTAAAAGTTACATGACCTGGCCATTTGTGTATACACAAGTACTTGGCACCAACGTACATAGCTGGCCAAGGAGGCGCCTGTTATAAAAATACACAAGTGGAAGCCGTGCTGCAGAGACTGCTGCTCCTTCTCTGCATCACGTCATGCATTCCTTCTGTTTTCACTCATTTTCCAACATATTTTGACGCCAAGGCTTTGCCCCCTGAACACGACTTATAAAAGACATCCAGTGTCAGCCAATTATTCTGGACTTTGATGGTCATAAATCAAGGCTGACCAATAAAAATGAAGACAGCCAAGTATAATGTTCGTGTATGACTCCAACTGGATGGTAAATGAAGCCAGATGGGCTGGGAGAGTGCCACCGAACAGAGCTGGATCCCATCACTAAATGACTGCGTGTGTTTTCCCCTCGTGCACAAATTACGGCATCACCTCATTTGGTGGCATAAATCAAAGCCCAAGCTGTGATATGTGCGGGGCATCTCTCCATCTCATTACTAAAATAAATTTCCTGGCGGCTTTGAACGTGCCAGCACCGTTTGAACAGTTGATATTTACCACAATGGCTACCTTTTGTGGACACTTTTATTTTTGGGAACTTTTCAAGGCCACTTTTGTGATTTCAAGCACGCAAAGACATTCTTGGAGATGAAGCACACCCTTTAAGGGTTTCCTTACTGGGGACCTTTGGACATTTTTGAGGAGGCCTGATGCGTTTGGATCTTTGAGAAGAAGAAGATAAAGGGAGCAGGGTTACAGGCAGAAGAAGAGTCAGTTGAAGAGAACAGGACGCAGATACATCACATGGGAAACAAAAACAGAAACAAAAGAAGACTTGGACAGTGACAAGGAAAGGGGACAGGGGTGACAGATATAAATAGACAGATGTATGTGGGCAGAGAGACACAGACAGACAGTGATGGAGTTATTTGGAAGCTTTTGGAGGCGGACTAAATGACTTCTATATTTTCCAGACACACTGCTGACCTTCATCTGTGACTTCCATTGTAGAGTGAAGAAACAGACCCATCTGAAAAAGCTGTCTTTCTCATTCTGCGATAAGACAGGTTCCCTCATTTTTCTCTGCAGCTCTCCATCCCTTCATCAGTGAGAAATTTATTTTGTGTGGGTTATAATATTTTTTCTTCTCCATGCTCCAGCTCCAAGAGAATATGACCAAACTAGCAGTACTGGGTGGATTTACGACACAAAACAATTTTACATATGGCGTCTGTGAATTTTCTGAGGTCAGTAAAGAATGTCTAAGCTAAACAAGATTCCCCTCTCCACAAGGCTAGACTACTTAATCAGCCTATAATGAATTAATACAAGGCTTGAAAGATGGTCCTCTCTGAAGAGGATGATTCATGGGCGTGGTGAACAGCCTGATCTGTTATGCTTTCTGCATTAAGCTCTGTGAAGGGGAAACACTCGGGCTCTGGCTCCTAATAAAAGGAGGTTTTCAGTCGATACGTTGGACCGGTGTTTAAAATTGAAGGTCATTGATACAGGTCTGTAAAAGAAGTTGCAGGGTTAAACCCGTGCGAGGCTGCTGACAGTCAGTCAGCTGTCAGTGGAAGCCAGCAAAAACAGACCTTTAACATTATACAGACAGTGGGCCTCTATGGCTGCAGGCACCTTTCCTTGTGTATCAAGTTCACATTGCTCACTTTCATTCACACTCACAAGTCATTAGTTAATATAAAGTGATTAGATGATTTTTTTTCCCTCCAAATTTTATAATAATTTCTTATGACAGCCCTTGTAGAGTTGTTGAACATTTGTTGTACAACTCCAGGCTCTGCTTCTTTACAATCAAACGATGTTCTCTTCAAATCTGGCCATAACTGATTATTTGCACCATAGTAACAACACCATAGTGACAACAGCTTAAGAATGGATCAGTGCAAATATGATAAAGCTCTAAAGAATTAACGTAAGAAAGTTTAGGGTCAGAGGATAAACAGGTAACATACAGTAATGCAGATGTTGCACACAGTGAACACAACAGGACAACCTAAATAAGGGGTGTTAGGAAGCATCAATCTTGCTAAAGTCCAGAAAAATAGCCTTTTCTCTTCCCGACAGGACTTTTTGCCTGATGCTGCCTGGGAAAAAACCTCTTGCAACCCACAGCCGTGAGCCATAGCAGGCATGTTCTCTCCCACAACAAACACATCATCTGTTACACACTCCAGGAATTGTCGAGGTACGCAACAGCAAGCGTCAAGCCGCAGACAAGTCATACATCTTCTGTGTTTCGCTTGGAGGAAGCAGAGAGGGCAATGTGGAGAATTTGTGCGTCTGTGTTGATATTTGTGTATGTGTGTGTGTGTGTTGAGACATGTTTTCTCTGCACACATGAGCGTAGATGTCTCAGTGTGTGTCTGCCAGCAGTCATCCATACGTCTCAAACAAAAGATCTCATTGGTTCGCATGGAAAAAGCAAGACGTGAAGCGGACAGGGCCTGGGTCTTATCATTCAGTGGTTTAACACTAGCCAGACCACTGCTTGCTAACTCCAGGCAACAAATTAGGAGCTGGGAGCCGCCGACTGCAGTTGTGACAGGGACATGATGGAGAGCAGGCGGACTGGGCTGCTTCACGGCTCACATCGACCACGATAGGAGAGGAATTTTCCCCTGTGCACGGCCAGAGTGAGCTGCAAAAGAAATGGCAGCTCACATCATTCTAACATGAGAGGAGCTCGTGGGATTCATTTCAATGTACACACTTTAAATACGGAACTGAGAGAATATTCCTAGGACGTGTGTCGATGAGAGTAAGGAGGCATCAGAGGTGACAAATGTTACAAACACACTGGTGACAGGAGAAACAGCTTTAAGTTTCAGATCTGTCTGAGTGTTAAGTATAAAAAAACATATTAGTGCTACAGTTTTACTGTTTAAATATCTCATATTAGAATTTTAAGCCATCAGCAGCGTTAGCCAACAGTAATTAAGAGAAGGGGTTTGCTACTGTACTGTTGGTCAGAACTGGGCCACGTCAACCAAAAGCAATGAAAGAAAAATGTGCATGTCAGTGCTTGTCATATTTAAGACTATTTTGAGAAGAAAACCTTTGCCAGAAAAGAACACAGACAATTACCATGTCACATTTGGGCCACTAAAGGCTGAAACGCATCACTGCAAGACACACATGTGAGCAGAAGGTCTGACTGTCAATTACACAATGGTCACTGACAGTTCATACATTATTAACTTGTTTATCATAATATTTTACCATAGGGAGTATTATTGTAAGAACTATGAAGAAGAGCTCAATTTGATGACAGGTACAGCCTACAGACCATGAACTACAGACATTAGAAATTAAGTGATAAGTGGCCTGATTCTGTATCTTTCATCTACAAAGTTCCTCTTGAAATTAGCAGTAGGTCTTACCCAGGGCTTCAGGCAAGGCTACACCTATGTTCTTGAGACTACTGTGTTTGGGCTAAAGGTTATACAATATGTTGGTTTTAAATTGGTCTCACAGTAGGGAATTCTATTTTTAGAGTTATTACTTACTTTCAAAACCACTGGTCCAAAAGAGTCTCCTCCTACGTTGACAGATGTTAATTTTTAGTTTCAAGTTGTATTTTCAGATCTAAATGTTTTCACATTTATATGAGAGAACACAACTTGCAACCACATGCTTGAGCTAAGAGTAAATGGTATAACAGTGCAATGGTTTACGCACCCCAGCAGAGTAATGTTGTTGACTTTTAACTTGTCAACTGCCATTTCTGCTACATGCACCATGTGTTTTTGTTATCCTACTTATCCTACCTCCCCTTTTGCCCTTTGTACTTTCTCAGGCTAAATGTGTCTCAGTTTTCCCCCACATGGACACACACTTACACACACACACACACACACAGTACACATAGACTGAAGAGATTGAATACATTGTAGCATAAAGATTTATAGACATTTGAGTCTTTTTGTTCCTTCACATGTGTCAGGTTAAAAGACATCTGTCACTGAGGATCTGTCAAACACCTTGACTGCTCTTTAGTACTTGGCAGAATGACACCATCTTTTCCACAGGCTGATTCTGCTATGAAAACTTTTGCTGTTTCCCATTCTTTTCATTCTATTTAAAATAATCATTTTTAGGAGGGTGTACTTCTGTAAATTAATTTATATTTTGACCATTTGAACCTTGAATCCTCTTGTCTGTGTAAAACCCTGTCCTTTCAGATGAGACAACGATGAAAAACATCAGTTCACCCATGAAAAATGGAGACCTCACCTTCCTGCCTGCCAGGAAGAATAAAAAGACACGAGGGATCTTTTACACTCACAAAATGTTTGCACATCCACCGCTATGACTCTGAAGTTGTTTTTCACAAAATATAAACTGTAAAATGATGGCGTTCCTTTAGTGATCTGGTTTTATTTAACAACGAGTTCTGAACTATGTCAGCTGCGTCCCCAGACATCAACCTGTCCACTGTTTACACAGGTACACATATTCACAGGGCTGCTGAGACGACTAATACTTTGTTAGAACTAAATAAATAGATATATAAGTATATGGTTGTTAGCCATTTTAAACAAACATCACACTTTTTAAAAAAAATATGTGTTACATTAATAACTCTTTTATTGGACCACATCAAGCTCATGGCCAGGTGTTTATTTTGTTTTATTTTCTATTCCAAGTTTTTTAAATGTTAAAAGTTAAAATGCAGCCAGTAGGTGCCACTAATGCAAATAAAAGCCTGTCACCTGCTGATAAAACAAAGAAAAGGCACTTCAGAGGTTAACTTAAATTAGCTGTCCCCTAAAAAACTCTGAAACATGGTTCAGGTTCAATCCCCATGCTAGTCTACAAAGCAAACTGAGTTACTTGTTTTTCCTGAGTTACAGGTTAAATTCTCATTCAACATTATGTTTTAGCAGCTCACTCAACACATGGAATTGGGATCTTTAACTCTGTTCATAGCACCCCCGGAAGGATATAAGAAGATACTACTTGCTATAGCGCAACAAATGCACCAATGCACTTCCACACAGTATTTTTAAAGAGCCACAAACGTTTTTATATGTGCGTGTGTGTGTGTGTGGTCTAGTTATGACTTATTTTATGGGAACGCAAGTCTGTTAACACACTCTCATTATTGGGTCTCGTCGTCTACATAGGGACCAAAGGGGAGTCTCTATAAATCATTAAATTTAAGGCAAATAAATGTCCCAAGCTGAATATCAGGCTGGGTTTAAGTTAATGTCAAGTGTAGTAGTTAGGTTTAAAGCTCCATATATAAATGTGTGTGTCTTCATTTGTGTGTGTGTTTTAACTTAGCGAAGCTGGCTCTAGTCCAGTATTCCTTCATGTGATCTTGTGTCTCCATTTCTTATCAACAGCACTTTGTCGTCTCTGCCTCCTTGTCAGTGCAGTGTGTCTGCACCACCTCTCAGTCTGATAGCTAACAGCCGCACATGTACACCTGCACTCTGTCACACTGCAACAGTCTGCTCCTCACACACCCTTGTTTTTGGCTCATATAACTATTGGCTACTTCCAAATCCAGTCATAAATCATATTCATAATAATTTCACAGCACACTGTAGTTGTTTACAAATGTGAAAATTCAAATAGTTGTTTTTCAGAGGCATATTCACCAACCCCTATTAAACAGTCCAGCTCTGTCACATGGTATCAACACAGTCTACAACATCTTTTGAAACTTTACCATCTATTTTCCACCAAATTAGACAAGATTTAACAAGAGAGAAATAGTTTTCCACCTGGACATAATGGCTGACACTGTAAACTCAATTTTGCGGTTACCATTTTATGTTAGAAGAGGCTTGATTCCAAAATCTACTCATTTTATATATATATTTGAACTAATGGCAGAAAAAGAAGAGGAACAGCAGAGCACGTGCGTAAATGACACTAAAAGTTTCCTTTGAACATCATTCTCTTTTCTACTGACTGACATCATACAATGTAAAGGAATATCCACAGTATCCTTCCCTAATATTCTTAAATCCACCCAACTTCACTATCTCCTATTTTACAACGACGTTAGAATGTACAGATTCTATCACTTCACTTCTCATATTTCCTTCAACAGTAACTCTTCCCCATATCCTCTCCAACACTCCCTTCTTTCCTATAAAGTACAGTACTTCTTTTCAGTCCATCCCTTTATCCCAGCAGCGCTTTACCCTTCAATTCCAGATGGTGTCTGGTTTGTGTCAAATGAGTGCACTGGTAACGTATCAACACCCACCAGGCGTGCTTTAAGTCAGAGGTTTGCGGTGGCTGATAACCTGCCCTGGAGCTGCCCTTTTCCTCAGGCAAACACTCTCACTATTTTTTTAAGGCTACGATTAGTGCAAAACAGACAAGCTCAGACCACATGGATGAGAAATGTCAGTTTGGTCAACAAAAAAAGTCTAAAACTCTGTTTTAAAGAACAAAAAAATACACATAGGTTTGAATAGCTACGTTTGGTGAATCAACAAACAGTTTAGGTTCTGCATCCTGCAGAATTTTTTTTTTCAAAATCAGAACTATTCACTGTTTGACTTTGAGCTCTGTAATAATGATAAATACAGCTCCGAAGACTGCAGACACTATAATAAAACCAAAAGACATTCTTCAAACCAAAGTGCATTTAAAGTCCTGTAGAATTTAGCTTTTTTTCCTGTTATGTGCTGCATTAAACGTTTTCAGTCTGTATCTGAGTTCGTAATGATAAATACAGCCAGTGACAACATGATACACCCAAAACACTTTCCACAACCCTGTGTCTCTTCAAAATCAATCTTCTGTCACAAATCACTCTCTCATGCTTTTTGAATCAGACTTGTTTCCAAGTATTTGTCAGTCAATCGTGAAAAAAAAAAACTCTTCTGAATACTGCAGCAGACGGACCTGAGCAGATGACAGGGAAACGTACCTACACTGAGAGACGTCTGAGTGCTTCAACAGAGCTGCAGGAACAATAGCATAGTTTCTGAGGTGATGCTCTCTGCCCCCCGCACCTTTACGGCCAAATTCAAACACAAAGAGAGACAAAGAACAGGTTTATTGTCTTTAACTGACTTAAGGCATTTTGTTTAACCTAACAAATTCAATGTTGCAGCCTGCAACAGATTCAGAAATGTTAATTCAGAATTGGTCAATTATAGTGGGAAAGTCAACAAAAATCATTATCAAAATTTGGAGATTTACTATAATCCAGATATAGAATCAAAACTGGGTAAGAAATGACCATCCACCTTTCAGACAATAAGAGGTTGCAGTTAAGGAAACTTAGCTGAATTTCAATAGAAAATGATCGATTCTGAAAGAATATTTTAGAGTTTTGATTTTGTATTATGTAGTTTTTTAAAAATGTAATAGTACTACTTCAAACTTAAGTGAGATGATTTTGTCATACCGAGAGAGAAAATGGATTACATTCACATCTTGATTCAATACATTAAGCAGACGTTTTTATCCAAAGTGACTTACAATTAAGCCAAAGCGGCCCCCCAACACCTGCCACAAAGCGCGTACTGTCTGTTTTTATGTATTTACGACAATTTACGACTTACAAATCTCAATAAGTTAATTTACAACAAATTAACTTATTAATGTTAAAAAAATGCTTACTTATAAACCACTCTAATAAATTACTAATTCAACACTTAAAAAAGTGCCAACTTCCACAGTGAATGGAATTTTCTAAAATTGAAAACCAAGCTAAAGGCTAACATTACAATATTTTGAATAGGTGCTACCTAACGCCGAGTTTTTTAATTAAAACAAGTAGCAACACACCTTTGAATGTATTCGTCAAGTTTGTCTGAAGTTTGTTTGTTTCTGTCGAGAAACCAGCAGTTATAGTATATTTAACCGGCAACAGGTCTTTTTTTTAACGTCTTTTTCCGCGTTAGCGCGCATTCTGGATTATACCATTTCCCCAGAAAGGCGGGGAAGTCAGTGGACTGTACATTTCCCCAGATATACCATTTCCCCAGAAAGGCGGGGAAGTCAGTGTACTGTACATTTTGCATTTCCCCATGATATATTTAAATAGTTAATATTGATAAATACATTAAAAAACATAAATTATATTTATTAATGTATATGTTTTAGTGTATTATTATTATTTATGTGTTGCTCGCTTATTTTGAAGTTAAAAGACAATTAAGTTTCTTATGTCTCTTTTTCAAGTGGGCCTATCCAGTTCAGTGCAGGTTAATGACCTCTGAAAACCACTTGTTTGTGGATTTTTAAGCCTTTCTACCTATGCAAATATACATGTATAGATGCCCAAAGACCTGTGCATATATACAATATGAGTGAGTGTGTGTCAGTAAGCGAGCGGCCAACATTGTGTGGGCTCTGAACCAGCTGTGTGGGCCATGTGGAGGAGGATGTAACATGGGGTCAGGAGTTGGCAGCTGGCAAGGAGGGAGAGAGTCCAGCAATGTCTAGAGGTCCAGACATCAGGAGCATCTTCAACACACTGATGTGTGTGTGTGAGAGAGAGAGAGAGAGAGAGGAAGAGAGAGGGAGAGAGTGAGGACAAGCTCATGTTGTGTGAGTGTCCGTGTCTATTAAATCAGATAGGCACATTAACACATTAACAAGAGTCCCTCCTCTGAAGAGAGTTCCTCCCTGTTAATAGTCACCCCCTGAGTCAGTGCACACACACACACACACACTGTCCACACAGAGTGTTGATTTTGTGGCTGAGCAGTCATTAACACCTTCACAGAGCGTCTGGTTTTCCTCTGACATCACTGATGGTTTTGACCCCTGGAGCAGGGAGGTCACAGACAAGTCACATGACTCGAATTCAGGGGGAAAACACCACATCAAGGCAGCAAGGGTCACGGAGAGTGTAGCAGAAGAATATTAACAACTTATCCTAAAGGTGTGACGATATCTTTGACAACAGTACCCTCAATAAAAGTATGAATTATGTAAAAATGTATATTTAGTACAGGGTTAGATTAGTTAATTGATGCAATGTTTAAAAGGAACAGTTGGAGAAAAAGAAAACTTTATGTAAAAGCTAAATATTTTACAAAAAAAGTAATTTGTGATTTGTCTTGAAATTTTACATTAGTTAATATGTCTTGTATCAGCTATATGTTCAAAAATATTACATAATATAAACACAACATTAATTTATGGCAAAAATATGGTATCTATCCTGGCAAAATAATATCAACCTGTAAACTACACTGAAAACCTCTGTGTGTATTTTGGTTTATTCTCCAGAGACAGTGCTATCAACAAGTAACGGTTTTATAGTGGATATAAATAGACTAGAAGTTGGACCTAATTATGTTAATGTTGTAAAAAGAGCACAAAATTATAAAGGAATAAAAACAAACAGCTCCATTAACAGCCTTAAGTTGTTAAAGTACCTCACAGTACAGCTGCTGCCAAGGTAACAAACATGTATCAGTACTGTTATACTACCACACATTATTACACGCAGCGACAATAGCTCCAGAGCGTCATTCAATACCGTGTATTTTTTTGAACCTTCCAAACCAAAGGCCATTCCAATCAAAGCCGCTCTAATCATGGCTGTCAGTGACTCCCAGCGGTGGATGTAATGTGTCTCACTTCCTGATAGAGCTTCTGTGCGCTGGCAGGTCTCGAAATATGCTGCAACATCTGTGAAGCTACTCGGGTCCTAACGTTTCAACCGTGCTCACAGCTAAAGCAAACAAGGGGAAACATATTGAGAAGGAATTAAGGGCAGATTTGAGACAGGCTGTATTGTTAAGCTCTCACCAGTGACCAGTCTGTTTCAGTCAACATCTACAGACCTGGCAACCACTTTATGGACCTGGCAACCCCGGCCAAGATTTGTAATGTACAAGGTACATTTGCAAGGTCTGAAGTTTTTATATATAGATATATTAGGATGTGTATATTTAATGCAGCCTATAGAGTCAGCAGGTTTTATGAGTAGAGACATTTTAAAATGACAAAAAAAAATGTAAGTATAAACTTTGTCGTCGGTTAAATTCTTGCAGTTGTCTTCATAATGTGGACCACAGCCCACTTCACATTTTCTCTTACATCCCATTGGATCATACAGGGTCATCTCTCACACACATAGACAGATACACAAACACAAGTCCACACACACCAGCAGGTAGACCATTTGTTCATTTGCTTGGTGAAAAACTGAACAGATGACGGCTTCTCCTTTCGGCCCAGTGCCGGTCGGGGTGGCAGTGGCGGTGGCGGCTGGCGGCCTCGTGCTCATCATTCCACAAAACCCCAGCCAGATGTCCCTGAGCCTGGGAGGCAGGTGGGCCAGGGCCCCCCTTCCACCACAGCGCGACAGAGCTGGCAGCTCTTCAAACCTGCTGGGTATAACCTTTAATTCACATGCTTTTTCTGGCAAGGCGGGCCGAGGGGCTGCCATCTGCCCAGCCTGTTGTGGTGCCGGGAGAGAGAGGAAGTAAGAGAGACAGGAAGAGAGGAAAAGAGAGAGACGGAGAGAGAAAATACAAGAATTGGAGAGACAGAGAGACAGTGAGAGAGTGGGTGGCATAGTGAATACCTGCCCTGCCCAGAGGCCACCACAGAGATTTTTATGTGGTGATATATTACTTTTATAGATACATTTTTTGCCCTGTATGACACACACGCAAACACACACACACACTAGAAATTCCTATCCCTGACCACAGTTGCTATTATTCTTATATATTTTATAATTCTATTAAATATTTACTATAGCATAAAATAGATTATAGATATATATTATATCCTTATCTCAATCCATATCCAAACTCTAATATGACCCTAGTTCTGACCACAGCTCCAAACTATAGTCCAAAGGGACTTATTATCATAATAAAATGTCTCTGTAAGTATAGTTACATTAGAAATGGATTAAAATTGATTAATTTACTTAAAAACTGATCAATTAAGTAATGAATACTTGTATGTACTCCTAAATCACAATAAATCCAGGTGGTGCAGTTTGTTCATCAGTACAAACGCCACCCTCTGTTCGTGTTTTCTATTTTTCCCTTCATTTTACTGGTCCAAAAACACAATAACTAATTACATTCTACTGTAAATCCATGGTAACCTTTGACTGCAGGCCTTACTGAATAAGCTTTAAACAGATGTGATGTAAATGGTTCTCACTGTGACTTTACACAGTGGTTTTTTTTTTCACAGCAAACATCATCCTCTTGGAAGAAATGACTTTTCTGTCCAAGCCTTGCAGATGCTCAACAGATGCAGGAATTTTCACTTGAGTCAAACACAAATTAGATTGTTTTACAGTATAGCCTTTCATCTGTTCAGTGAGCGCAACCTCCGTTGCCTTACAAAGTACACAGCATGAAGGGAAGGACTGTGGCGCTCACCACAGATGTCATTAATAATCCCCAACATAATGGAACGCAGCTGAACCCTCAGTCATGATACAGTCAACAAAGGTGGCAGAGCTCAGCCTGGAGGTGAGCAGGAGAATATGGCAGCTTGAGTCATAAACACAGAGGACGAAAAAAAAGAAAAAAGAAAACCAACCAAACCATATTAGAATGTGTGGAATTACTACCAAGCTGAATTAACTGATAAGATCCAGGGAGGAACGGAGAAACAAATTGAAAGTGTCTTATCTACTGATAGGAGGTAAATCTTGAGGAATTGTTTATTTTTTTATTTTCTACAAATCTGTGTAGATGAAATGTTTAAAGATAAAGCGATTTGATGGCAGCAGTCAGAGTGATAATAAAAGCAACAGTTATTTTAAGAGTTATTATTTTCGAGGACTCACATTACCTTTTACATATTAAAATAAAATAAAAATAAGACGAACGTTTGTAGCTCTATGTTGGTGAAGTCCTATGAAGGAGAGCTAACAGGCAACACTGTGGAAGAGTGGTTTGTGCTCCTGCCTTACAGGAAAATCACCGGTTTAAAGGTGGAGTCTGTGTGTTTCTGTGTGTGATTTGCATATTGGTTGTTTATGTGTTTGGGTTTTCCCCAGCTAATCTGGCTTCCT